TATAGGAGTCTCATTGAAGATTCGAGCCTGGAGCATGACACAAACACAACCCAACAACAGTTACTTCTCCTCCACCAGGAAAAGCAAAGACATTCCCAACCAAGCAGTTTGTCATTGTAATTCACTCCGAACAGATGCCCCAGAGAACACAGAGTTGTCGCTCAGCTCATGCCTCTTTAGTTTGTAACCTCCAAGGACAAGGAATGTCCCCTCTGGAACTGGCAAAAATGCCTTAAAACACAACATTTTTTTTCCTTCAGGAAGAGCCTCCTGAGATGCCTCATGGCCACGTGGAAGGCACAAACCACTTGTCACCTAATTATCCTACAAACCCCCTAGAAAAAGTTACTTCATTTACACCCTTTGTGATTTTGAGTGAACTCCAGGAATTTAGCCATCCACATTTCCACACAAAAGTTCCTGAAGGGAAAAGCAAGGAGTTAAACAGCATCGGGCAGGGATTTTCTTACCTCCTGCAGCACAGCACTCTTCTCCAGGTGCTGGAAAGGATTGGAGCCACTACCTGAGGAACAAAGAGATCTCTCAGTTAAGGAAAGGAATTCCTCACCAACACCAATAGATCTGAACACGCAAGAACAGCCCTGGAACTTGACCAAGGCACCCCAATGCAGGAACATTCCTCTTGGGATAACTCCTGTTGTCCATCAGCAGTTTTGTTCACTTCATTAAACTCTATGTTCAAAGCTGAGCAAAACAAGAAGCATTTTTGGCACAGGCAGAAAAGGAGGGAGGGAAAAAAAGGTGTTCACTGGCAACTTTGCCTTAATATTCCCTTTGCATAAAGGGATTTGCCCCTGGGGTTTTTTTCCCAGAATCCCTGTTTTTATTCCTTCAGGCACAGAGAGCTCTGAAGGCATCAGGGCAAGGGGATGAGCACCTGGAACAGAACTGAAACCACCTCAGAGCCACAATTAGACGTGCAAATACCTCCAAACCTTCAGGGCTGATCCTGATGCCCTCAGCACCACTAACCCCTCAGCTCAGCATCACTCAGCTTAGTGCCCCTAAACCCTTCCCTCAGCATCCCTAAATCCCTCAGTTCAGCACCACTAACCCTTCAGCTCAGCATCCCTAACCCCTCAACTCAGTACCCCTAACCCCTCAGGATCCCTAACTCCTCAGCTCAGCACCCCTAAACGCCTCAGCATCCCTAACCCCTCAGCTCAGCACCCCTAAACCCTTCCCTCAGCACCCCCAACTCCTCAGCTCAGCACCACTAACCCTTCAGCTCAGCATCCCTAACCCCTCAACTCAGCACCCCTCAGCTCAGCACCCCTAACCTCCTCAGCATCCATAACACCTCAGCTCAGCATCCCTAACCCCTCAGCTCAGCACACCTAACCTCCTCAGCATCCATAACGCCTCAGCTCAGCATCCCTAACTCCTCAGCTCAGCACCCCAAAACTCCTCAGCATCCCTAACCCCTCAGCTCAGCACCCCTAAACTACCCCCTCAGCGCCCCCAAACTCCTCAGCTCAGCACCCCTAAACTCCTCAGCATCCCTACCCCCTCAGCTCAGCACCCTTTACCCTCCCCTCAGCACCTCTAACCCTTCACCTCAGCATCCCTTATCCCCCTACCCCATACCCTCCCCTCAGCACCCTAACCCTCCCCTCAGCACTCTTTACCCCTCCATCCCCTCCCCACAGGCCTTGGCGCGCTCAGCCCACTCAACACCCTCTCCCCGCAGTACACCACAGCCCCTC